CTCTACTATGGGGGCTACTCTCAAACTTCCTCTAATATACTCATTTCGTATCTTATCCATTCGTGTTACCCCACACATCCATCTTAACATTGAATGAATGTACTTTCATATTGACCAAAAAAATCTCTACGACAAAAATAATATACGGCCCAAGGGCTTAATAGTAGATGAAGCGTAACTCTTAAAATAGTAAGGTATCACTAAATGTATGCGACAAAGTAAAACGCATCACCGTCAAAGATGACAGAAGACTCTGTATACAAATCACGTAGGAAGTGGTTATGAAACCATAGCCATTCTCAGCTGGTGCACTACACATTGGAATACAAAAACCGAAGAGACAGTTCTATAGGCATCGGCAGGAACTTTATTGTGGCTAAACCAACTGCACCAATATACAGTAAGAATTTGCATCTTATACTGTTCATACGCAATTTTATGGTATGTTAAAAATTTTTCAAATGTACACATTTGCAGTTTCATATAACAGCAAACAGTGCTCTTAAAATATCGGATTTTTTTTTTATCGTTTACAAAAAGTCGCCATTACCAAATTTTGTAGAGATCTCAATGGTTTCGTGTATTGCCAAGTACAATCTTAATTTTTTGTGACATCTCCTTGAACCGAAATGCCTTTGCCCATTAACCTTTATTTTTTGTCGTAATCCTTGAGCATTACTGTTCCACAAATAGTATGGCTTTTTAAATATTTACCTGACCAAAAAAAACAATGTTACTGTAACTATATGATTCTCAAGTTCCGGTTACCTCTCTTGTGAGTTTGTGCGTCATACTTTTGGCAAGCTTATGTGATGCATCTTTAACGGTTCATGGTAACAATGACCATGCTTTGACGTATTGATTCATCTCGTTTAAAAGGGGTATCGGCATACTGAATACGGTTGTGGTAGTTTATTAGACAACAAATGTAACTTAAGTGGGTCGGGTACTCGGGACACGGCCGTCACAGTTCGCGGGTCAGCCGGCCCAGTCGGTGCAACTACACTTTCTCGTATACGGCTAACTTGTCTCTGTTAGCCATCTCTAGCAACTTTCTCAGGTTCAATGGTCGACGAGAAAGGAAGACTGTACACATGTAATAAGTTTAGAGGAACGGAGGGATCTTTGCCGGTTTGTAAGTAGGACAGTGGGTCAGTAAAATAAGCATTGCTTGCATTTGTACATGACGTATGAATTAGTACATCACATCTTCATACTAATTATTATTTGAAGCTCTTTACAAAAGATCTTTTTATTGTAACGTAAAAAAACGCACTTCTAACTTCTCGGATTAAATATAATAAAATGTAGCAGTTCTGTATTTAAGTGGTAGAAGTTATTCCACTTATAAGCATCAGCCTTTTTTGTGTATAGTCCCTTTATATACATCCCTTTCTCGATTGTTAGATTTCCCACGGGTTTACTTATCTCTTATTTTTATCGTAAGTAGATTTTTTGTTGCTACCAGTGCATTACATTTGTTGCGCCAGGCAATACTGAAGACTGTATTAATATTGTTATTATAAGAATCGTAGCAATAAGTATACATAGAAATAGTTTTCATCATTGAGAACACCTCGGGTATGGAGGCTGCAAAGCACCGGCTGTGTTGCCGCAGGTAGCGTCGCAAATTGGCGGCAGCGGTCGCAGCAATGGCCGCCCGCAACGGCACCGCCCACTACCGTTACCCCAATTGTTTGACTCACAACACAAGCTCCAGCGGAAACGAACCTTACAAAAACATTGCCATTTATTATTAGAAAGTAGATATTGGCGTAATACGAGAGGTCCTTAATATGATTGCGTTATGCTAAGTGGTCTAATTGGTGCACTTAGCACTGAATCAATCAGCCGAATTTCAATTGTCTACTTGTACAACTAACAAAGTGTGAATCGCCTCATTCCGTCCCTTGAGCCGTTTGTCCAATTTCTCTTACTGGCCATTGTTGTAGTGGCCTCAAAGAGCAAAGCGATCTCTATACTTGGTACAGACGGCGCTATTGTTTATCCGCAGTGCCATTATCGCTGAGTAACACCGACAATTTAGCTGTTTAGCCCACTGTACATTCCGTCACGACCGTTGGGACAGACCCACTGTCTCGAATTAGCTTCTAGATTATTGGTTGCGGTTTTCCGACGGTAAATTTACCTGTGGCTTTAATGGCGATGGCGTACAAAGCCCAGAAGTTCGACGATATTTTCCGGATACACAGATCATTTAGTACCGTTTTAGAGATTGTAAAGTAATCTAAGTCCACGTTTTTTATTATAGCATTGTAAGTTTAATAGATAGTTGGTGTTTATGGACATGCGTTAGTCGCGACACGCGTCCTGAGGTTTGTTTAAACTTGTAATAGTTGTTTAGAACATCAGCGACAGTTTAAAGGCTTTTAGCATATCCGTTAAGTGATGAGTCAGTGAGATGTTTATTTGTGTCGGCATCAACAAGGCCGCGCTGACCGGCCGCCATACGACATACGTGACATGAGCGCGGCAACGCAGCGACGCGGCTACGTGCTTAGTTTTCATCAATATTTTGCGATTTGAATATGACCAGTTCAAACTTAAAATTTGCTTTTTGTTGGTACGTAGACGGAACTAAATAAATATTATCTCTGCAAGGTTGCAAATATTTAATGCGCACAACTTCTTTAGTGAGATATTGCATTGTAACATAATATGGTTTCATTGGATTTATACATTATGTAATTATCCATAGATGAAAATAAAATAGTAATATGCTGCGTACTTTATGCCATAACGTTTGTTAAAGATACTAAAACTGAAGGACCAAGAATGGTTGTTTACAATATCAATAGTTATTCAAACAAATGCATGAAGCGACTCGGAGTGATGGTAACGCAAATGTTTATAACATGTAAACATAACAACAATAGTGTTAAATGTAAACAGAACATTATACAACAGCTGAATGCACTCGAAAGTAGTTTTAAAACGCAAAATAATATATATAAAAAGTGAAAATAGAAACATCTTGTGTAAGCTATTCTAGTTGTTTTTGTATGCATTTACTTTTTGTGATAATACCTATTTACTAGTGAGTTTTTCGTAGTAAAGGAAGCAACAATGTGCACCGTTTCGCCGTTCATTCAAAACCTCTCAACAAGAGCGTCGAAAATAAAAAAGTAACGGTCGCCAGCGGTACGGTGTGCGATGAATAATGCGGGTGGCACCGCGCCGCAGGATTGTCCAAAGGTTCTTCGGACTTCCCTGTGCTACACAGGTGCAGGAGCGCGGGTGTACCTGGCGGTGACTCAGCGCGTGACGTCACCACCCAGCCACGCGCTGCGCCCTCTCCACGCCCCCCTCTCCCCCACGCCTCGCCGCCACTAGGTCAATCTTCACTAATGTTACTTTTTTAAATTGTAAAGTTTGTCAAATTTCGTTTCGTTACTTGTTTGGACTCGGAAAACACATTGGTCGTTACTGACGGATAGACAAGAGGCTAAAGAAGTTTTTCTAAATGTTTTGCCAACCCGCAATCACATCGATAGTGTGTGTTAATAGATGAATTTCTACACTACACATACATTGTAATATGCAGCACAATAATTTACGTCAACGTGAACCCATAGAAATGGCATTAATTGCTTACGATTGCGATACGAAGGAAGGACGATTTAATTTATTAGGGTTATTACTATACTCATACGTAATGTCCGTTTACTTTAAATATCGCAATGAACATACAAGATGAAAAAGTATAATTAAGTAGAATAAATTACGTAGATTGTAGATATTAACCTATGCTAATTTCAATATGCAATGTCAGCATTAGATTTACTGTTTGTACTCTGTTCAGCCACATGTCAGTATGCAGTAGGTAACACAAAATGCCATACATTCTCAGAGTTCCGTACATTGACTGTGAAAGAATGTGAAGGGTATTTCATTGTTATGTATGTGAGCAATAACGACACGCTATCTAACTGCGCTTTTTAACGCATTTTCCCGCAATATAATATACAGTACAATGTTTTTTAAGCCTTTGCCAAGTAAAAGTATCTTGTTACTTTCTTTATGCTTTACTTACCAAGTATACTTTGCTCCGGTTATTTCTAAATATTTAATAGAATGATTTATAAAGTTGTTGATCTTATGAGAGTAACAGCTACTTATCAAGCTAATGCGTACCATCCTTCGACTGTATTATCACTTGCTTCACGTGAGATTGTGGTCAAGTGTTAGCTTAACAAATATAAAAAAAATCTTCGGCTAAGTTTGCTATTGTTTTTTTTATCTATAGCTATTCATTATCACTTTTTCTGCATCTCACTAGCGAACAAGCAAGTGATTCGTATCCACAACATTTACTTATGCAAGTGGGTTTTATTCAGCGATGTTTGCGTGATGACAAGGACTCTTCAGTTTTCGTATGCGAACTTAAACGTTAAGATAAACATGTGCTTGCGTCACGCTACTGTTCTCATCGCAACAATGCGGTGTGATTATAGCGCGGAGACTGGCGACTGGCGACTG